TGTATAACATAACATGTACAGTGCATGATATGCATAAAGTCTTGTAACTAAATTTAAATTGTTGAATTGATACATTTCGAATTTAAAGATTATGGAAACACGCTGTGGCCAAAAACAGTCAATATAGAAAACGGTGAACAATTCGATAAGCAATATGAAGTACTGGATGAACTTGGAAAAGGCAGATATGGGGTGGTGTATAAGGTTAAAGAACGTGAGACCAGTAAATTTTACGCTGCAAAGTTCGTTAGATGCATTAAGTCAACGGACAAGGAAAAAGCCCAAGAAGAAGTGGACATAATGAATTGTCTGCGCCACCCAAAACTTTTACAGCTCGACGCAGCTTTCGACAAGCCCAGAGAAGTGATCTTGGTCACCGAATAGTAAGCAAGTATTTTATTCGAAATAAAAACTCGATTACAAAATCAATCATTTTGTTCCATATCACTCTGATAATTTGTCTGTATAAATAGCGATTCATTATTTTTTCATATTATACAGTATTATTTTAAAAACACAATTCAAATTCAGTAAAACCCTAATATTTTGTTCGTTGACATATGATGTTATAAAATGTATAATTTACAAAAATTATGTCTTTAATYCAGTTATTCTAWAATATTAAAATGTCATCAAAAAATTCTGAACTGAATCGAATCTAATCTCCTCTAGCATTTCTGGTGGTGAACTGTTTGAAAGAGTGGTGGCCGACGACTTTACGCTCACAGAAAAAGATTGTATTCTATTCACCAGACAGATATGTGAAGGAGTGGATTACATGCACAAGCAGAACGTTGTGCACTTGGATTTAAAGGTATGTAAAATATTTTTGATCAGTCCTAAACTTGGAACATGAATAATTATAAGATTGTGTTTCAAGCACAAATTTTTGGGGGTGTTTGGCTAAATATAATAGGATAGTATAAAAAAAGCATCACGAAATTATTCACCAAAATACTTGAATGATATTTAAATGGTTTGTTATTATTTTTCCATTGCAAACTATACTTAGCTTATCCATAAAAAAATATTTTTCTCTATTTTTAATGTTATTTACATTATATCATTGTGTCGATATAAAAAGAGACAAAGAAATTTAAAATTTGGTTTCTTACTAAATTTAAATAGTACTTTTAATTCATATATAAATAGTAAAACAGTAATTATATTACAACGATACTTGTAATTAATTCTGCGTTAAGCGATGAATGTATTTGTTTTACAATACGTAATGTACCTACATATTACTTAGGTACTTGTTTTTTTTTCTATTAGGTAGAAACTACAAAAATGAATTCGTATCAGAGATTGAAACAGCTACTTTTTCTTTGAAAAGAAAAATTGAGGAACCTTAAAGATATGTTTTGTGTATAATTCAGTCAACTAGCAGCATGCTAAGTTTTTTTAAGATTTATAGGAATTTAATTACATTTATTTAATATTTTTAATTTTTAGTTTGTGTTTCTATGGCGATTAACAATGCATTAAGAAAATCGTCTTTTAAGCCAAAAAACATTTTTACGTTAACATTCCACCATTAGTCACTTGAATTATTATGTTTTATACAAATTTTAATTCAACCAATTCACATCAACTTCATAATTCCCACGCGTGCATTATATATTTCATTTTTTTTAAATTATAAATGGGCACAATTATGATCATTCATGCATCTAATATTTAATATTTTACACAAACCACTTATATTTACAGAAAACAATTTTGTAAAGACATTTTTATTAGTATTCTCTTCTAAATAATAGATATAATTKTGTACATAATGTAATGATTTTATTTTATCTTGTGAAACGGYATTTGTACATTTAATAATATGGTTTTGTTGGTGTATAGCCAGAAAATATCATGTGTCAGTCAAGAACTTCGCACTATGTCAAGCTCATAGATTTCGGGTTGGCACAGAAAATCATACCTGGACAACCAATGCGAGTGCTGTTCGGCACACCCGAGTTCATCCCTCCCGAGATCATTGGCTACGAACCCATTGGCCTCGAATCTGATATGTGGTCTGTAGGAGTAATCTGCTACGTGCTGTAAGTAATCTGATTATACACTTTCGTTAACCCCAAGCTGTTTTTGAGTATGCTTTGATTTTCTGCATGATTTCATGAGTTAATTATTTTTTCCGTTTTCGCGTGGCATTCAGATTGTCCGGTCTGTCACCGTTCATGGGCGACAACGACTCCGAAACGTTCACCAACATAACGAAAGCCGATTTCGATTTCGACGACGAGGCATTTGATGCCATCTCTCAGGACGCCAAGGACTTCATAAGCGCGCTGTTGATCAAACGCAAAGAGTACGATACCCGCCGCGGTTGTCCTTTGTGATAACGGCGTCATGATGTATAGCACTGTTATTAGGGTTCGGGACTTATAGAACACTACATTACTCACTCATTTACAATAATATGTCCTCTTTAGAAATGATGTAATCAGGTGGCATCGATTATATTTTACGCACTAAAGTATATGTAGATGAAGAACAACTAATAAGTTTAATATTATTTTTAAAAAAAAACACATTTTTAATAACAGTTTTAGCATAATTTCATAGAAAAAAAAATAGATACATAGCATAAAATATAATTATAGTTTATAAAAGAGGATACCTAATAAACTAATAAAAGGCTATACATTTTATACATTTTTTGGAAACTAGCTTCTACCTGATAAATTTAGTTGTAGAAGAACTTATTAAATTCTAAATCAAAATAGCTTTAACATTTTTTTGCTACAAGTCAAATCAAACATAATATTTCAGGCATACTAGGTCCCATGTAAATCCGTTAATCCATTCGATTAATCAGATCATAAATATATTGTTTTTTAATTCATATTAATATATATATATGAACAAGGTAGATGCGAAAAAATCATTAAATAATATTATATACCACAATACATATTAAAATTAATGTAATGCTGTATTTCTCTACCTTGAAATATATTCCTTTTTATACATGCTATTTTAATACACTTATGTAGTATTACTATAATCCCCGAGCTCTAGATAGTTGACAACTTGTTAAGATCGCATCATTAATGCTATTGAACGGCTTATTAACCGCAACCCCTTTGACAGGTTAAGACTTACTGCCAGAGAATGTTTGAAACACAAGTGGCTGGCGCAGCAGGACATGGATATGAGTTGCGTGATCCTGAGCACGGACAAACTTAAAAAATTCATTATCCGACGAAAATGGCAGGTTAGAACCGATTTTATAAATATAATATTAAAGTTACATAGTAACTCATTAAAATAGATTCTCAGCGTTAGGTATAATGTGTACCTTTAGATGTGTCCCACGAAGCGTGTRATCTAACTAAGCTTGCGACTATATAATAGATTATAATACATTATTAAAAATATTTTTTTTCAAAGTGTTGCGATTAATTTACAATAAAGTTAAATATTGATTGTTTTTTTTCTCGACTAATACATTACTGTAAGCTTTATCGAAAAAATAGATAATATGATAAGTAGGTACCTAATGTGTTCCGATAATATTAACATTAAATTAATATAGCGTTGATCATTATTTAAATTATATTTCAAGTAACTACATCACCCAACACCTAAAATATAATAAAATATGAATATATTATAATGAAA